TTTTTTTTTTTTTTTTTTCCCCCTGTGACCAGATGTTTGTAACGTGGCTGATTCCACACGTACGTCGGGAGCATGCGATAGGCAACACTCATCTGTGCAAGACAGGAGCTTGAGGCAGGTGTTGCATTGGCACGAACGTGGGCTGAGCTACCGCGAGCTCCTGTTTGCTCCCCGTATCCCTTGGATCTATAATTAAGCTGGAAGTGGTTGAAAGCAAAAAGTGGCTCGTGGGCCTGGAAGAGAAGGGCCAACTGATGCAGGCTCTGTTGCACCCAGCCGCCGGGCTGGGGTGCAAGGCTCCTGTTCAAGTGGAGCCGTGCCCCGCACGGGGAGAGGGAGTCTTCAGGCACTGCCGGCAGCAGATTGGGGAACCTTCTTGCACCCTTGTTTCACCGAGGGGTCGGCTGGGGCTCGGTCTTGCATGCAACGCAGACATTGAGTGTGCCACTGCTTTCCGAGCAAGCCACCCCTGACAGAGACAAAGCACTTCCCTTGCACTAGGACATATGTAACATCCTACAGGGATTTCCCCAGTGATGTATTGAACGTGACAGAGCCTGCTGCGAGGGAGAAATAAAAAGCAGGAACAGCACTCTAACAGCTTGGCTCACTGATAATGTACGGCGGTAAATGGTGATGAGTGCATTTAAAGCTGCTTTCCTTTTTTTTTTAAGCGGCCTGGACTGAGGCACTTCCATGTGGGACCATTAAAAGATAAAAATTGTGAGAAACCTTTGTTGTAAAATAAAAAACATGGAAGAAAGGAATGAGCAGGAACAAAAATGTTTGTATAAGCCCAACCAGCCAGGCCCGGGCTGGCCGTAGCTCTTCCCATGCGGCAGCGGTGTTGTCTGCCCTTTCCCTGCTCCCTGAAGATGTGTCGCCCTTTGCAATGAATTTGCCTTGATGATAACCTTTCTGAAGGTGCTGATGAGAAAAGGAGGTCACGTTTATGAATACCAGGCGTCCCCTTTCCTTGTGCAAGCCGCTGCAGGGGGGCTGAGCTGCAGCTTGGCTTTCCAACCTGTGCACGCTGGCTTTCTTTTTTCAAATGTAATTGTTGTATTTAATTGTGTGTAAGGGCGTGTTTTAAAGGTGCATTTTTGCAGTGAGAGCCCCTAAAGCCCCCTCCTGCTCGTGACAAGGCCTCAGCAGACCCCAGTATGGGGAAACCTCACGCGGCCCCGGTCTGCATGATGCTGTGGTCGATGTGACGCCGGCCAGTTGAGTTTCTGCTTGTTTTAAAGGCCTAGGGGCCACCAGGCTGAAGCCTGTTGTGGGGTTGCTTCATTGAGGTCCTCCATGGAGACTATGTCATGCTTCAGTCTGGCAGGTCCATTATAGAGGCGCTACTAATGCTGTGGTTAAAGCAGCGCTTTGGAGGCGAAGCAAAGCTTGCTGGGGCCAAAGGGAAAATAAGATCCTGGGTTGGAAATGGGATGGATGACAAGGGTCCAGTAGACACTGGTGAATTAATGGCCACCACGGCTAGCCTCCCATGGTTCGTTGCCTTGCATTGCATCTCTGGGCACGATCCAGAATTGATGAGTGATTTGGAAGTGGGTGCCCTTGCCATTTCAGGGCAGTGCTAGGAAATGCACTTAATAGTGGGGGGGGCGGGTGTCCCGTTTCCTCGGCTTTGTTGCGCAAGGGAGCGGAGAGGTGCGGGTGTGCACGGGGTCAGGGGAAACGCATTGCAGGTATTGCTAAGTTAGCCCCTGGGGGCCTTATGAGTATATGACTGTCCATACCGCCGTGGGAAAAAACCGAGACCAGACCGACAGCATAAGGTAAAACTATGCCTGCATTGGCTTTAGCCGATTCAATAGATATATAATTTTAGATGCACAATGGCAGACTCAGCAGTCTTGTGGCTTACGGATGTGCCTTCCAGCCTTGGTGCTGGCTTGCGGCTGCCCTTACCCCACCGTCAGCTGTTCAGTTGTTTAGGCCGTGCGTAGCGCCAGGCAGCTGGACCCGGAAAGCCAGCACTCGCTGGAGCCACTGGCAGGAAGGAGGAGGGTGGATAATGCTAAGCCGAAGGGCGCTCAGTCTCTCCTTGGGGAACGTAGCCCTTCGTTTCATTTTATTTTATTTTTTTCCTTTCTTGCCTGCTGTTCATTGATAACTCGTTCTTTCATCCCGGCAAGAGTAGGAACCGCTGTGTGCAAGCACATGCACACGCATGTGCACACACACAAGCAATGCACACATGCATATACTTGCACGCGCGCGCACACACACACACACACTGATGCATCCACACATGGACACACACATTCTCAAGGAAGCAGATTTGTAAAGATGCCATGTGTGCGTGCGCACACTCACACTCAAGTGAGCAGGTGTGCAAACATGCACATGTGGACATATATACACATGCATGTGTGCGTGCATGAACACACACACACACACACACACACACACACACACACACAGAGGTTGATGCTGGCAGCTGCTGAGCATGGAATTGCTGCTGTGAACATCCTGAGCACAGCATTGCTGGTTCCTGGGTGATGTCCTGGTCTTGGCCTGTGCCTGCCTGTGTGTCAGTACTAGGCTGTGAGACACAGTGCAGGCGGGGGTGCAGGGACCCGGGGCACGGGGCAGCATTGATACACAGACAGGGGCAAGGCCGCAGGGTGCACTGTGCTGCCCTGCCCTGACAACCGGGCCGGCTGGGCCGGGACAGCAGGCATGCTTGCATTCCACACACCCAGTAATTATCAAATTATAGTCGTTAGGGCCCAGCACCAAGACAAAGGTCGTTAGATGGAGGTAAAATGAAAACAACAACAAGGCCTGGGCTGGCTGTTAATCCTCCTCCTACAAGAGGCCACCCAGGAGTCCCCAGCTCCTCTGTTACAGCCTTGCCCAGCAGCTTGGGGTGGCCTGAGCAGGCCGTGGGCACGGGGGGACTCACGTCGCAGGGCAGGTGGCTTGAAGTCATGGGGCTGGTGTGGCAGCCGTGGCTCTATGGAAATGCTTACCTCCACAGGGTGCCCGTGCTCCATCAGTGCCAGCCAAGCAGGCAGGCTGGGTGGGAGCTGGGGCACATGCACATGGGCACATGCGTGCACACACTTTCTTTTTCTCACTTCACTAGTAGTATGTGCGTCTGTGTCTTGCATCTTCCTTGCACACACACTCTCGCTCTCTCACTGTCTCTCCAGGTGTGTGTGTATCTTTTTTGTTCTTGCATACACACCCATGTCCTGGTGCTAGCTGTCCCTATGGGCAGCTCCAACTTGCTGGCTGGAGCATCTACCCCTGGGGCTGGTGGTGTGTGACCCGGGGTGCAGCCACGGGGCCTGCTGCTCTCCAGCTGATTGGCATGCGACACCCCTGAGCCGTGCCACTCTGGGCCAGCCCGTTAGCTTCATTGCACTTCGTCCCTGTTGGAGCAGATAGGGCTGTGGCTAGACCCTTGGTCTAACCGCTCACTGCACTGCTCAAGCTCTTAGGGCAGCCTCAGCTTGGGTTGGTCCAGGGGCAGGCATGAAAACGCAGCAGGGAGATGCTCACCACGTGTGAGCCTGGAGCGGGGAGCAGCCCCGACAGCTGAAAGCAGGAGCACGTGTGGGGCAGCTCCTGGCAATGGGTCCCAAGGGCTGTCCAGACCCCAACCCCATCATCCCTGGTGGGGCTGCTCGTGCTGCTGCAGCCGGCCCCAGGACTTGAGGCTACGTCAACGTGGCAGCTCCCGGGGATGCTAATAGTGGTGACTGGGACAAGCTTGGCCCCCTGCATGGCTTCAACCACCTCCCCACTGGGAGAAGGTGGCAGGGGCCCGGCTGCTCCCCTAGGGCTAGATGATCTCCCAAGGGTGTTGGTTGTAGCCGTGTTGGTCAAAGGACAAAGGCAGACACGGTTCTTTGGGTAAATCCGGTATCTTTTATTAAACCAACTAAAATAGTTGGAAAAATTCTTCTTTGCAAGCTTTTGGGGACAACCCCCCTTCTTCAGGCACAGGAAGCACCTGCAGTTGTTTTGTGCGTAAAGTTCGGGACCCTTCTTTGCTCAGTTTCCAACATACAGATGTCATGATTGTGCCAGGTCTTTGCCAACAATC